AGTTGACAAGGGTTCATGCCTGCCCCTGCTGATGTCATGCCTGCCTTTGCTGATGCCCCTGAACAGGCTCCTGAGGACCCTGAACAGGCTCCTGAGGACAGTACTGCAGCAGAAAGGCAAAGACTGGATCCTGTAGCTGAAAGCTATCTAAGTGGTGAGGAGGATAGAGCCTCCCAGGGAACACCTGCAAGGGATCAGTCTCTGCTGCAGCCCAGTAATTCATCATCAGACTCGCCTCCACCTATAACCAGGCTCAGGAATGTAAGAAGACAACAGCTGAGAGAGCGAAGGCAGAATGCACGCATGCGTGCCAGAAGATCTCTTAGCCCTGATTACTGACAGGATCCTGTCCTCACTCCTGGCTAGCTAATGAGTTGATTAGCTAGCACTGTATATATGCAAGTCTGTTGCCAGCAGTCATTTGTGCTGGCAAACGTCGTTTGTTCAGGACCTGAATCCTTGCATCTCTGCTCCAGACCTTGTGGAATTCTTCTCGACTTGATCCTCGGCTTTTGACCTTTGGCTTTGTTGACCCTGCGTTCATCTCTGACTCCTCTGGTATTGTTGTGATTTATGGACTTGAAACTTTGGTATGTCTGACCCTGCTTTTGGACTGTGATTTAAACCTGCTTGAACCTTGCTACCTGATTTGCCTGGCTTGACCTCGGACTGTTCCTGGACTTTTGCTTGCTTGTGTCACGCCCCCTGGTCCTGCCGTGACACAAGGAGGTAAGGGCAGCTGAAATTCTCATGGGTTAAGAGTTGACAAGGAGGTAAGGGCAGCTGAAATTCTCAATAAAATATCACAATCCTCTTTCACAGACCACATAGAGAGGAGAGAACCATAAAGACGAAAATAACAACATCAAAATCAGTTACTAATGACACCAGTAACAATACTATCAAGTTATAACTTCTATTTTTTTTTCTACTGGCCCTTATTTCCCCATTGGCATGGCACCCATTCGCCGCCCTACAAAACCTGTCAAATCAATGTACTTTTGAAGTTAAAAAGTAATTAAACAGCCTTCAAGAAAAACTGTCCTCAACCATTAAAAATATTAATTTCAAAGCCGTTTATGGTCCAAGGAGGTTCTACAATTTTTATAAATTTCTCTGAAGTCCCTTTTAAAGGTGTCAATGTCAAACCTTAAAAGTTTTTTCCCCCCTGTAGACCTACAGGAGTCCGTATCTTTATTGTTAGCATCACTGACAGAGGTACTTTGGTCCTTGCTTTGTATATTAAGAGACTCCTGTGAGAACTGTCACGATGCGGGGCTAGGCAAGGGCGAGGCAGTCAGGATACAGTCTGAGGTCAAGAGCCAGTCACACCAATTAGCTGGAAAACAAGTCCAATACACAAAGCAAGAGCGGGGTGGTCAAGGTACAGTCCAAAGTCAAGAGCCAGGCAAGCAAACCAACCGGGAAACCAAGTTCAAAACACAAACCGTTAGAGTCATCAGGAAACCAGAGTCCAGAAGAATCAAGAGCCAGAGAGTAAAGAGTTCGGGGTGCAGAGTTGAAGCGTAGTAATTCAAGCCGAGGTCAAGGAGCTGAGGAAATCCAGACAGGAACCAGGAGTCAGAATCACGAGCGAGGAGGTGCAGAACTTCGTCTGAAGAGACTAGTTGCTGTCATGATTTGTTGGCGTGAGGGTGTGAGTTAAGTAGCCCATAAGCCTGCTGGCAATTAGCATGCCCCAGGCGAGTCCTGGCTCCTGCTAATACTCGGGGCTGAATGAGCACCTACCATGCATGCATGCCTCTCGCTGCTGGGTTGCCATATCCCGTCGGCACTGTTCTCTCAACTGGGATACTGGTGGGGGGGAATCAGGAGGAGAACTGTCTGAGCGTGCTTCTGCCTCAGCTGTGGCTGGGGTAGCCTCTGGAATCTCAGCCCTGTCAGGTGCGGGAGTTTCTGGCATTGAGAGCGAATTCCCAGCAGCACTTAGATCCTCTGCTGGGGTGCTTGTTCGCACTCAGCGGGAGCCTCTTGTTGGTAGTCAGCAGGAGCCGTGACAAGAACTTGTTGGCTTCAACTTGAAATGTTCTGTTGCAAATCATTGATTCCCCCTCCGATGCATCATCTTTATTGGCAGTCAGCATAATTGAAATTAACACCTTTGATGGAGTAGAAGTAGATATTGACTTATTAGGGTTGTAAGATCGATAACAAGCCACAATCCCAGGCTGGCCTCCCTCTTCCCCCCTCCTTCTCTTGACAACAAAAGAGGAGGAGGAAGTGGAGGGGAAGTGAGAGAAGGAGAAGGGAGCTCGACTCCCCTCTCCTTCCTCAGGAGAGAGGTGGCCTCGGGCAGGGGGAAGAGATGAGAGTGAGAAAGATCGCTGCAATCTGTCATTATCAGGGATAAGAGAAGTCAGATCATCATCGTCAATTTGAGTCTTTGGCTTGCTGTTAGCTGGTTGTCTCCCAGGGATAAATAAATTAAGAGGTTCAGCTGTAGTGCGAAGAAGCTGTAGTGAGTTTTTCAGTTTCTCCAGTGTAGAAACATTTGTTTGCAGTGCAGAAACATTTGTTTGTTCTTCCAAAGAAGATACTCTAGGAGAATTTACAGGATATGGCTGTTCTATTTTTCTGACACCTCATGAGGAGGTTCATTTTCATATCATAAAGTGGGAGGTCTCTCACTTATATTCCCTGGGATTAATATCCAGACAGTTCCATCAATGAAGGCTCTGGTTGAGAAGATTCCGAAGGAAGATAAAAACCTTCTCATTTTCAAGTGCATTGAGGGAATTATTGGCTGCCTAAAAGTTAAAAGAACTCTCTTCCCATAAGGTGTATTTGAAATTATTTCTACTCTCTCTAAGTCAATATAATGTATTTCTACACGAGGGAGTTGGCTCAGAGAGTAGAGGATTGTGCTTTTATTTGCCCTACGACTCCAAATTCCTTCTTTTTAAAAAATATTTTTATTTAAATATAGAAAAAAACCCAGACATAAACATCAAATACACACCCCACTCCCCATATAGAAAAACAACCTACAGTGTACACATAACAACAAAGAAAAAAAAGAAAAGAAAAGAAAAAAGCAAGCAAATGAAGGCATTGGTAGAGAACTCAACATTCGGCAGAAATACAAAGAGAAAGGATTATTTTCCCTTCTTTTTTCTTTTCCTATAAACATGCATAATTAATGTATAGTTACAACATGATTAAAGTATAGAGAGAGGCTTACTTAACTTCATCCCATAATATGAGGAAGGGCTTAAACATACTTTGAGTATTGTTCTGAGTTGTGAATGAAATAAAATTGTGCCACGGTTCAAAAAAGTCTACAGTTTTGGCTTTGGTTTTGATTATCCTAATTTGGCTTGTTGATTTTTCAGCTATTGCAATCTGCCATAACTCAGAATACCATGAGTGTAATGTTAATAATTCTGCGGCTTTCCAACTCCAAATTCCTTCTTGATCTTTTCTTCTCATTCCTTTTTTTCTTTCCCATAATTAGCTCTGTGGACTCTTTCAATAAGGCTTCATTACCTTCTCCAGTTAATTATGATTATGATAGTTCGGGCTGTTTTCTAACTCACAGGATGTTTCCCCCTTGCCCAGATGCTGACGCCACCCAGTGTATATTAAACAGATTGTGCTGACTGAGCCTGAAAACCAACTCCTCCAGACAATTAAATCGCTCAGCCTAGATTCTAGACTTTTCCAAGTCTCATTCCTGGCAGTTAAGCAGACTAGATATCTGAAAGCAGCAGTTAAAATAAGATAAAATAATCAGGAGCCTCTCCTCCAGGTTGTTACTCTGTAGCCATCTTGTTGATGTCAGGGGGTGTGGCATATGCAAATAAGTTATGCTAATGAGTTATGCTAATGAGCTCCTGCACATCTTTTTCCACGAAATGACCCCTGGCTTAGGCACTTTAAAAATTTCCATGTCATGAGAAGCCAGGATTTTGTGCCTTGTGGGGCAAATTTTTTGCCCCTGGTGGGGCGGCCATTGTTTGCCATAATGAAGGGGGGGGTGATGCGAGCCCCTCCCATCCTGCAAGATCTAAAGGGGCCCCCAGCTGATCGGTGGGTCATGTGCTCCCTGCCGATCAGCTGAAAGGCCCTTTAAGTCTTGTAGGAGGAAGGGAAGAAGAAGAAGAAGAAGGCACCACCCTGCTTCTTCTCAAAAGCATTTAAAGAAATGGGGGGCCCTTTAAGAAAGGGGGCTGGCCCTTTAATGAAGGGGTGAAGTCCCCAGTAGTCCCACTGTAGTTATGGGCCAGTGAGAAGTCTGTATTGAACATTTGTTTGAAGGCATCAAACTAGAAAATAAGGTTTATGTTGGGCAACAGTAACAGATTCAGAAACCAGGAACCTCACGGATTGGCCTAAATTTCATCTTAAATTTGGTGTCATGGTTAAATGCGTGGACTCTAATCTGGGAGAACCGGGTTTGATTCCCCCACTCCTCCACTGGCACCTGGCTGGATGACCTTGGGCAAGCCGTAGTTCTGATAAGAGCTGTTCTAGAAAAAGAGTAGTTTCTGTCAAGAGCTCCCTCAGCTCCACCTGCCTCACAGGGTGTCTGTTGTGGGGAGGGGATGGGAAAGGAGTCTGTAAGCCACTCAGAGACTCCTTTGGGTAGTGAAGGGTGGGGTATAAATCCAATCTCTTCTTCTTCTTTTACCTCACAGGGTGTCTGTTGTGGGGAGGGGAAGGGAAAGGAGTCTGTAAGCCACTCAGAGACTCCTTTGGGTAGTGAAGGGTGGGGTATAAATCCAATCTCTTCTTCTTCTTTTACCTCACAGGGTGTCTGTTGTGGGGAGGGGAAGGGAAAGGAGTCTGTAAGCCACTCTGAGACAACTTTGAGTAGTGAGGGGCGGGGTATAAATCCAATCTCTTCTTCTTCTTCTTAAGAGGGCATCAGTCAAGGTCTGACAGATAAATTGAGAACAGAAAATGAATACAGCCGGTTAGAGCAAAATCGGGACTACGTGAAAGAAATGATGGAGAAACTGAGAGTAAGAAATGTGTGACTCAAAATATTTTATTACGCACTGCAGCGAGGAACAGCACAAAGTTTGTAAGGATGGGGGTGCAGTGATCCCCCAAATATAGGCTTTGCGTTGAGTTCTTTCACTCCTTCCGGCAGCTGGAAGGAGAATGCCCTCAGGAGACTGGTGAAGAAGATGAAGAGCTCAATCCTTGCCAACAACTCTCCCAGACAGGCACGAGCCCCTGTAAGGGAAACAAGAGAAGGCAGCAAGTGAGTAAGGCCTTTCCATGTGTTCTAAGCACATGAAAAGAGCCTTGCTGGATCAGACCAATAGCTGATCTAGTACAACTTCCAGTCTCAGAAAGGGACCCACCAGATACTCTGGGAGGGCTAACAACAGCTTTGCCACCTAAGCCATATGCCTGGTGCAAGGGTCATTTCGTAGAAAAAGAGGTGCAGGAGCTCATTAGCATAACTTATTAGCATAACTTATTTGCATATGCCACACCCCCTGACATCACTGGAAGTGTGTCAGAAGGCAACACCCACTGCAACTTACCTGGCTGCTTTTTGCTCCTCGTGGCCTGGGGCTGCTGGGAACAGGGGGCGGGGCTTGTTGCATGTGCCCGCCCCCTGGGCTCTTTACTGCCGGAGCTCCACTCCTGTGTGCTCCTGCAGGAAATGACCCCTGGCCTGGTGGGACATTTCTGTTCTACAGTCCCTGTGGAACCGAATCAGATCCTGCAGGTCCTAGATCTTATCTGGTAGAGCGTTCCATCAAGCTGGGGCCAGAGCTGAGAAGGCCGTGGACTGGATTGAGACAAGACAAATACTTTTTGGGCCAGGGTCCACCAGAAAGTTGTTATGCAAAGAGCGCAGTGCTTTCGGGGGGGGGGGTGTACCAGGAGAGACGGTCCCAAAGATATGTTGGTCCCAGACTGTGTAGGGCTTTGAAAGTTAAAGCCAAAACTTTGGTTCTGATCCGTATTCAACTTGGAGCCAGTGCAGAGCACCAGTGGTATATGGGCTCTAGATGGAGTGCTTCTAAGCACACGCCCAGCCATGTTCTCGACCACTTGGCATTTCTGGGTCAGTCTCAAGGGTAGCCCTGCATAGACCGAGTCACAGTAGTCCAGCCTAGAGGTGACCGTTGCATGGATCACTGTGGCTAAGTCAGGGGCAAATATATACAAGGGGGACCAGCAATTCAAAGCAGTACAATAATAATGATGAAAAATTGCTGTGAATTCACAAATCACAATGAATAGACAATAATAACTAGTACAGAATTGACGCTTGATGATGTTTATAATTTCTATGTTTTCAGAACACAGGACGTCAAATACGGAAGGTGAGCGATACGAACATCTCGAGTTGCATGGATCACTGTGGCTAAGTCAGGGGCAAGACAGGAAGGGAACCAGTCACCAAACTTGGCGTAGGTGGGGAAAATGCCAATCTGACAACATTTGTGATCTGTGCCTCCATTGAGAGGGTGGCATTCAGAATCACTCTTGGCTTGCTATTGAGAGCTGGAAGTTGGCATCCCAGCCTGGGATCTGCCCAGCTCAGCCACAGGACTTTCGTCTTTGACGGATTTCGTTTCAGCCAGCTCTGCTTCAAACCAACCAACTATAGCCTCTTGGCCCCTGGCCAGATTGTCTCAGGGGGTATTTGGCCAGCCGTCCGTCAACAGATACAGCAGAGTGTCATCAGTGTACTGGTGACATTGCAGCCCAAAGCTCTAGATCAGGTGATTGAGGGGGTGCATGTGATGTTAAATAACATTGGGGAGAGGATTGCCCCCTGGGGGACATGGCACACCAAAGGGTGTTGCGTTTCAACCCTCTCCCCAAGTGCCAGAAAAGAGACAAACCATTTTGAGGCATCAAAGGGCTCCTCCCTCTGCTCCAGGTTATGAAACTGTTTTAAACTTGTAAATCTTAACTTTTCTGATTTTGGCTGACATTCTAAGGACTTTTATCTTCCTCTCCCTAACTTGAAGTTTCCTCCCTCGAGGCTGTTCTTTGTCTCATAAAGGAAAGACTTGCTTGTATAATTGGGTAATTAGCCGGCGTCCTCAAAGGCAGATGGCAGATGGCCAAAACATATTATAGCTTCTTTATACTCCTAAGCAATTTTTTAAATGATTTCAAAGCGAGACTTACTACCTGACCTTGAACCTGGACTCTTTGATTTCATTAGCTCTTCTATTACTGTAGTGTAATGCAAGCCTTGGCCCCCGGGAGTTGAAAACAAGACCTCATAAATGAGGAAGAGAGATAGAGATGGAGGGGACTCCAGTTTGGTGTAGTGGTTAAGTGCACAGACTCTAATCTGGGAGAACTGGGTTCGATTCCCCATTCCTCCACTCGCACCCGCTGGATGACCTTGGGCAAGCCATAGTTCTGGCACAGCTGTTCTTGAAAAAAGCAGTTTCTGTCAGAGCTCTCTCAGCCCCGCCTACAGGGTGTCTGTTGTGGGGAGGGGAAGGATTTCGTAAGTCGCTCTGAGACTCCCTTGAGTAGTGAAGGGCGGAGTATAAATCCAATCTCCTCTTCTTGATACCTGACTCTAAACAATCCAAAATTGGGGATTTTTTTTCCTCACCACATGATGTGGAACCACCTTATGGCTGTGGTCACACGAAGCATTAGCCACACTACAGAGAGGGAAGATAGGTGGATTTTCCAGGTGCGATCACACCGCAACATGTGGGAAGTGTAGAGCTCCCGTGGCTAACCCGATGCTTCCTGTCGAAGATGCGGCGTTAAAACTAGTACCTCCGAGGTACTAGTTTCCGGAAACCGTGGGGCAAGGGCGGGCATCTGATCGCGTTTCCAGTGGTAGTTCGTGGCATCCGGCGCCTGCCCATGTCCTGTTGCAAAAAGTTTTTTTCACCCCAAGTCTCCACGGGTGCGCACAAGCACCCAACGGCGCATGCGCACACTTTGGTTTAAAAAAAACCACTACCCCATTTGCCACGGCAGTGGCGCCTAGCCATTGCTGCTGTGATCGTGCCATGCCGCTTCTTTGCCGTGCCACAGGATTGTCATGTGATCAGCACCTCCCCCCGAACCACGGGATGTCAGCGATCCGGCGGCTGCGCGTTAGTTTGCTCTGGGGCAAACAGGCACGCTCCCCACCGCATTTTCCGGCCCGTGTGACCAGGGCCTATGTTTATCAAATCCCCACATCAAATTGATTCTCTCCATTATTAGGAAACACTGATATGCCTCCCAATGGCTTATTAATGGATACTCCCTTTGAAGAGGCAACCAGTATTTTAAACAACTCAACTGAAGCTGACACTCCTGTTACATCCAATGAGGCAGCTGATCTAACTATTTTATTTATTTATTTATTTATTTATTTATTATTAAATTTATACCCCGCCCTTCCCCGTAGGGCTCAGGGCGGCTAACAAGGCAAGAAAAGGCTTGCTAATAAAACATCAATACTCTAATACAGTTAAAACAATATATACAATTTAAAACCAATAAAACAATTAAGGTGCTCAGTAACTACAATCATTCCAGAATCTCAGAAACCCAGAGAGGTCGACCACAACCCCAACACAGTCCAAACATTCCCAGTAGGCATTGATAATAGATGTTAACAATGATTCTACCCGGCCTCCTAAGCCCTAACCCCTAACCCCCCCCAAGATGGTATGTAGCCGGGGGGGGGCAGTGGCGGCCCCTAACTGAAAGCCTGGTGGAAGAGCTCCGTCTTGCAGGCCCTGCGGAACTGCACCAGGTCCCGCAGGGCCCTGATCTCCTCCGGGAGCTCATTCCACCAGGTGGGGGCCACCACTGAGAAGGCCCTAGCCCTTGTGACAGCCAGTCTAGCATCCTTGGGGCCCGATACGGTTAAAAGATTCTGGGCCCCAGACCGTAACTACCACCTGGGTATTTAGTTCTTCTGGTTGCTGATATAATGAATTTTATCTGTAGCAGATGGAACTCTATATATGCAAAAATAGAGAGTATGGTAGAATTATTGTCAGGCATGAATGAAGGCAAGTTCCCCAAACTCAGAAAGCCTTCTCCCTGGAAAGATTCAATTCTATGCCACAAGCAGTTTTATATGGTAGATTTAATAAGACTGCATTCTTGGCTAGGACTTGTCTCTGTAATTCTGGCTGTGTCGAATCGATGTCACACATCCTCCACCATTGCTACTTATATGCAGTAAAAGGTAAAGGTTCCCTTGCTCGAGAGCCAGTCGAATCCGACTCTAGGGTTGCAGTGCTCATCTCCGTTTCAGAGCCGAAGAGCCAGTGCTGTCTGAAGACGTTTCCAGGGCCAAAAATACCAGGTGCCCTCAGGAGGTCCACCAGCAGGGCCAGGACACTAGAAGAACTCCCACTGTTGCCCCCCCCCAGGCACCAAGAATACTGAGAGTTCCTACCTATAAAGGTCAAGGTTTCCCTTTCTCGAAAGCCAGTTGGATACGACTCTAGGGTTGCGGTGCTCATCTCCGTTTCAAAGCCGAAGAGCCAGCACTGTCCGAAGACGTTTCCATGGTCATGTGGCTGGCATGACTAAACACCAAGGTGCACGGAACGCTGTTACCTTCCCACTGAAGTGGTACCTATTTATCTACTTGCAATTTCTTGCTTTCGAACTGCTAGGTTGGCAGGAGCTGGAACTAGAGACGGGAGCTCACTCCGTCATGTGGCAACCCTGGTCTCGAACTGCTGAACTACTGACCTTCCACAGCCCGCAGTTCAGCATATTAACCACTTGAGCCACCGCAGCTCCACTTATATGCAGACCCGCGTGCTAAACATTTAAACTTGTTTTTAGCTGGAATGTTGGGCCTTTCTGATCATATTACGGTTCATCATCTTCTGAAACTGAAGTTACTGAGAAGGTAGCCCTGTTTTTACAGTCTACAATAAGAGTCTGTCAGGAAATGTTATAGTATAATTTTTTAAAAATACTACATAAACTTTTATATGGTTGGTTTTGTACCCCCCTCTGTTCAACTGCTGTTTGTAGTATCTGTACATGCCAATAAAGGTGACTGGCTGACTGAATAATCCCCACATTGGCGAAGCGGTGGATCGATCATAATCAGGGGTCATTTCCTGCAGGAGCACACAGGAGCGTAGCGCTGGCAGCAAAGAGCCCAGGGGGTGGGAACATGCAACAATCCCCGCCCCCTTGCTCCCAGCAGCCCTCAGTCAGAGCAAGAAGCAGCCAGGTAAGTTGCAGAGTGCCCCCCCTCCGGCCCAAAACAGTCCAGTGGCACCTTTAAGACCAAGTTTTATTCAGGTACAAGCTCTCCCTCCTCTGCAAGGACAGATCTGCATGCCCCCCCCCCACAGTTAGCAATCCAAAACAGTCCAGTGGAGCCTGAGTGGTGGGTGTTGCCTTCTGACACATTTCCGGTGATGTCAGGGGGTGTGGCATATGCAAATAAGTTATGCTAATGAGTTATGCTAAGGAGCTCCTGCACCTCTTTTTCTACGGAATGACCCCTGATCATAATTGACCGTTTGTCACCCTCCTGGTGGCCAGTCCTAATCCATTTCCCTGTAGAACAGTAACAGCTACCCCTTCATCTCACAGAGATGAGCCATCCCAAACCAGAGACATTTCGTGTCCTGTCGGCTTTCCCTCAGGATTTATTTTTAAGAGTTCTCTGCCTCCTTTTTGATTTTAAGCACCAGCAGCCTGGTTCCTTCTAGGGACAAATTAAGGCCCTCTCTTTTGTACAGGTCCTCCTTGTTCCAAAAAAACAACACAAAAAAATCCTAGCTCCTAACAAACTTAAATCTGTCTTTCCTATACCATTGTCTCATCCATGCACTGAGAACTCCTAATTTGTGTCTGTCTAGCTGGCCCTGTGTGTGGCCTTCTGAGCCTTCTGAGAAGGCTACCTTGAAGGTTCTGGCCTTGGGTCTCCTGCCTAGCAGCCTAAATCAAGGATACACAGTGTATTTATCAAGAGGGGTAGCCGTGTTAGTATGCCAGTAGCAGTAGAAAAGAGCAAGAGTCCAGTAGCTCCAAGAAGAAGAAGAAAGAAGAAGAAGAGGAGGAGGAGGAGGAGGAGATTGGATTTATACCCTGCCCTTCACTACCCAAAGATGTCTCAGAGCAGCTTACAATCTCCTTTCCCTTCCCTTCCCCACAACAGACACCCTGTGAGGTCGGTGGGGCTGAGAGAGCTCTGACAGAAACGGCTCTTTTTCAAGAACAGCTGTGCCAGAACTGTGGCTTTCCCAAGGTCACCCAGCCAGGTGCAAGTGGAGGAGTCGGGAATCAAACCGAATCCTCCCAGATTGGAGTCCGCACACTTAACCACTACACCAAACTGGCTAACAAATTTGTGTCAGGGGATGAGCTTTTGTGAGTCACTGCTCTCTTCTTCAGATACTTCTGTATCTGAAGAAGTGAGCAGTGACTCACGAAAGCTCCTCCCCTGCCACATATTTTGTTAGTCTTTAAGGTGCTACTGGACCCTTGCTCTTTTCTACAGTGTATGTATGTATATGTGTTCGTACATGTATATATTTATTCATATACACACACGCACATTCTTTGTTATGGGGAAGGAGGAAGCCCCAGGGCCTTCCCGGCTTTAACCAGAGATGCCCTGCTGACATAGTAAAGGATGGGTAGCCATACAGAAAATAAACTCTGAACGCATGGGGTGGGAGGGTGTGTCTTTGCTGGGAGAGCGCTCCTGAATGCCCAGCACACCTTCAGCCTGGTCCTTTACAATCTGATCCATGGACCAGAGAAAAATCTGCAGCCCCCAGGTGCGCTCCCCACCCCTCCAGCAATGGTCTGGCCCCTGGAGGAGGGCTGTAAGAATCATAGAATCATAGAATGTTAGAGTTGGAAGGGACCTTGCAGGCCATCTAGTCCAATCTCCTGCCTCAACCACTTTTACAGTTAGGAGCTTTCTCCGGATATTTAGCTGGTAACGACTCCCTTGTAATTCCCACCCATTAGATCTAGTCTTGCAATCCGGAGCAAGAGAGAACAGATCGGCTCCATCTTCTACATGACAACCCTTCAAATACTTGAAGACTGCAATCATGTCCCCTCTAAGCCTTCTCTTTCCCAGGCTAAACAGACCCAACTCTTTCAGCCTTTCCTGGTAAGACTTGGATTTCAACCCTCGCACCATCCTGGTTGCCCTCTTCTGGACACGCTCGAGCTTGTCAACATCCTTCCTAAAATGTGGTGCCCAAAACTGGACACAGGACTCCAGGTGAGGTCTGACCATCGCAGAATAGAGCGGAACTACCACCTCCCGTGATCTGGACACAATGCTTCTGTTAATGCATCCTAAGATTGCATTAGCTTTCTTCACAGCCACATCGCACTGCAGGCTCATGTTTAGTTTGTGATCAACCAGAACACCCAGATCCCTTCCACATGTGCTGCTGTCAAGCAAAGTCCTTCCCATTCTATATCTATGCCTTTGATTTTTTGTACCTAAGTGCTGGACTTTGCACTTCTCTCTATTGAAATTCATTTTACTTGTCTCTGCCCACTGTTTCAGCCTATCTAGATCATTTTGAATCCTGACTCTGTCTTCTTCAGAATTAGCAATCCCACCCAGCTGCTGGAGAACTACTTGGCTGACATCCAATGCTGGGCCCAACTGCCCAAAGTCATCCTTGTCTCCCTCCCCCAGCACAAATGATGTTCCACCTTCAGGCTGAGAGAATTTCATTGTATTTGAGGAAGTGTGCTTGCCGTTTCTTACACACCCTTTCTTACACACTCAGGGAAATGTTGATCACTACTTTGGGGTCAGGAAGCAATCTTTCTCCAGGCCCATTTGGCTGGAGATCCTGGAGGTTTGTTGTCCTCTCCTGGGTGTGGAACAGTAGCCACTGGGTGTGTGTGTGGGGAAGGTATTAGTGAATTTCCTGCATTGTGCAGGGGGTTGGACTAGATGACCCTGGAGGTCCATTCCAACTTTATGATTCTATGATCCTACGAAAGTTTAACAGGGCTCTTTTTGTAGCAGGAGCCCCTTTGCATATTAGGCCACACACCTCTAATGTAGCCAATCCTCCAAGAGCTTACAGAGCTCTTCTTACAGGGGCCTACTGTAAGCTCTTGGAGGATTGGCTACATCAGAGGTGTGTGGCCTAATATGCAAAGGAGAGCCAGTTTGGTGTAGTGGTTAAGTGTGTGGACTCTAATCTGGGAGAACTGGGTTTGATTCCCCACTCCACTTGCACCTGCTGATGTGACCTTGGGTCAGTCACAAGCTCTGGCACAGCTGTCCTTGAAAAAGAGCAGTTTGTGTCACTCAGCCCCACCCACCTCACAGGGTGTCTGTTGTGGGGAGGGGAAGGGAAAGGAGTTTGTAAGCCACTCTGAGACTCCAAGTGAAGGGCGGGGTATAAATCCAATCTCTTCTTCTTCTTCTTCTTCTTCTTCTTCTTCTTCTTCTTCTTCTTCTTCTTCTTCTTCTTCTTCTTCTTCTTCTTCTTCTTCTTCTTCTTCCTGCTACAAGAAGAGCCATGAATAAAACTTTGTTGGTCTTAAAGGTGTCACTGGATTCAAACTTTGTTCTACTGCTTCAGACCAACACGGCTACCCCACCTGGATCTGTCTTCAGGCTGATAGCTATACTTCTGGACTTACCTGCACCAAATGGAAGAAATGCTTCTCTTTCCACAAAGCTCCCATCTTGGTCCAAAAAATGATTAGGGTTGAAGTCCTGAGGTTTCTCCCATTGTTTGGGATCAAGAAGCACGGAACGGAGATCTGGAATAACATGTGCCCCCTGAAAGGGAAAAGGTATGTTAGGATACATCTATACCAGAACACTAGAAAATAAAACTAGAGTTTGCAGTGAGAGGATGGAAATGTGAAGAAGGTAGAAGAGAAGAAGAAGAGATTGGATTTATACCCCGCCCTTCACTTGGAGTTTCAGAGCGGCTTACAAACTCCTTTCCCTTCCCCTCCCCACAACAGACACCCTGTGAGGGGGGTGAAGCTGAGAGAGCTCTGACACAAACTGCTCTTTTTCAAGGACAGCTGTGCCAGAGCTTGTGACTGACCCAAGGTCACCCAACCAGGTGCAAGTGGAAGAGTGGGGAATCAAACCCGGTTCTCCCAGATTAGAGTCTGCGCACTTAACCACTACACCAAACTGGCTTAAACACTACACCAAAATAAGTTTCTGCACTCCTGAAAATATCATTTCTAGCAAACAAGAACAAAACACACTGGGTTTTTTAAATTTCAGATCTTCCCTCTTGAGTCTGGTGGCAGTTTCCACTCATGTGTGAAACCAGAAGATCTGAGTGGGAGAGGGTTGTGAAGTGTTGCTCTGGCTTTACTACTGAAGCAAAAGCTTTTTAAAGAGAAGATACGTTAACTACATGAGCAAGTTGAGGGTATTGATGTTCATCTAATACAGGTATGTCCAACAGGTAGATCGCGACCTACCAGTAGATCGCGGAGGGGTGAGAGGTAGATCACCAGCCCCACTTGATCTCCTGACAGAAAGTGCATTATAAATGGGGGCGGCAGGGGTGGAACCCAACTTTAGTGGGTTAAAATCTAATTTGAAACTTTGAAACTTTATTTTCATGGTGGTAGATCACCGGCACTTTTGGCCGGAAAAAATAGATCACTACCTGTTCGAAGTTGGACATGCCTGATTTCTAATCATTGGATAAATGTTCTAAATAAATGAACAAGCACCAGCACAAATAGACCAGTACATTGGGATATCAAACAAAAAACCTTGTATAATTTAACCTTGAGCTTTAGAAACAGGAGGGTTTTTTCCTCTCTTCAGAAATTTCTATTACTATCATCAGCATCATCAGCATCATCTATTTATACCCCACCCTATCCCACAAGTGGGCTCGGGGTGGCTAACAACATAAAATCCACAGAACAATAAAAACAATAAAACAATAGATGGCATAATTAACAGTAACAGCAAACCCTGTGCCCCGTATCAGGGGAATATAGGTCCCCAGAAAACTCCAATGCCCGGTAGAATTATTAAAACAGCAGGGAATCGGGAAGAGGCCATGAATAGGGGAGGCCAAGATGGTTGAACATCCATCACCTCAACTGAAAACCTGGCAGAACAGCTCTGTTTTACAGGCCTTGCCAAACTGTAGTAAGTCCCACAGAGTCCTGATCTCGAGTGGGAGCATGTTCCACCAGGTTGGGGCAAGGGCAAAAAAAGCCCTTGCCCTGGTTGAGGCTAAGCAGATGTTCCTCAGGCCAGGGATCATCAGAAGGTGCTGATCAGAAGAGCGTAAATCTCTCCGGGTCTCGTATGGGGAGAGGTGGTCCCACAGGTCTAAAGAGGAGTCTCCTATATGGCCATTTCTCCAAAAGCACCACCTGTGATGGACATCCCTCATCAGGTACAGGAGTATGACTATAACAGTCTTTGATACCTTGGGAATGAGACAACCAAGTATGTTCACATCCTTCATACATTTTCTGGGGATCCCAACAAACAAGACATAGTAGGCACGCAGGATCTCATGTATCACAGCATTGGTGTAAGGCAATCTCTTTCGATCTTGATAGCTGAATGACTGAGAGGAACCCAAAGTATCTTCTACCTCCTTTTGGACTTTCTCTGAGGAAAACAGTAAAACAAAGAAACTTCATTTGGGAGACAGTATTTACCTCTACAGATTCTCTGAACCACTGAAACTATTCTATAGGATCATGCTCAAGAAACCTAAATTGTAATGTAGGCATGCAGCAGCATTCAAAATGTTAAGGGTGATTTATTTGGTCCATGCAGCAACACACAATAAATATGAAAATGGCTAAAAATGGAACACTCACAGAACCACCGAGTGATAACACAGTCACCCCGCTAGCTATTCCATGAATCAGACAGCGGATTTGTAATTAGGGATGGGCACAAACCAAATTACAAACCAAAATTCATCATGAACCTACCCTGGTTTGTGGTTCATGAACCTCGGTTCATGCCATCCCATCCCCATGAGCCCCCTCAAAACTCCCACAAACTTTCCAGGTGGTTTTGTGTGGTTCGTGTCAGCAGACATGCTGGCTCCTGTGGTGAGGCTTAGAAAAGGCATTTAAAGAGACTGTGATCTCTTTAAATGCCTCAGTTGACTTTCTGAGTTGTGTGTTGCGCGGCTTGGAGAAGACATTTAAAGAGTCCATGGGGGAGGTTTGTCCTGGTTCATGGTTTACGGCAGCTCACCAACCACAAGCCGGGATGAACCTCCATTTTCCCTGTTCGTTCCCATCCCTATTTGTAATCACTGGCTCAGCCAAAGTAATAGTGTAATATAGGCAAGCAGCAGTTTCCATCCTGGTTTGTCTGTTGGGATTTTAACAGTGTTGGACCTTGTGACAGGAAGCTATGCAAATTAATGTTTTCTATGCAAAAGTTATTCCAAAAAAACGAGGTTATATATCCAGCTGCTGGCTTCAACATGGCTTAGGATTCTTTTGAAGGACCTCGGCCTTCCAAATGGTTGGTGAACTGAAGTCATTTGCAGATGTCGAGAAATGTCCTCCACCCTGGAGATCACATTTATATTCCAATAATTGGGAATGCATTCTGTCCAAGTACTAGAGCCTGGCTGCAAGTTTGTAGTGGTCAAAGAAGTAAAAGTGTTGGGATGAGTCATTAAACCCCTGTATAGAAAAATTGCTTTCTGCTTTCTATATCCACATGCCTTTTCCTGTGATGTCTTTTGATAACATGCTGTGTCTTCTTTCCTGTTGCAAGCCAAATGATGAGGCCACATGGTCTCAATAGCCATGCCATAAACCCACATTCTTCCACACTTTCATGCCAAATGCCAGACCTCATGGCTACACTTTCTCGCCCACTTGCGACCAGTCACGTACACAATGAAGTAGCTGGAGTTTGGGTCAGATGACTGCAGGTGGGGTCCCAAACTTATAGCCTATCCCCACACGCAGCTATGGCAACCAACAATTGGGCACACCCATGCCCACTCGCAATTGGCTGATGGTCACATCTAATTTGTGACTGGAATTGGGGTATAATTGTTTGATCCCTATGGGAGTGAGCTCTTCTTCCTGTTCTCGAGTCTCTTGCTCTTGCTCTCTCCCCTGTCATTGTCTGTTTATTGCATCTGAAATGCTGTCTCTTGAGAGACAAAGAGTTGCTTTGTGACTTGGAGCACATGGGGTGCAAAAATGGGATTTCCCTTCAAAATCTCTTGGTACTTGGACTATCTTGGACTGATGAATACTCCTGATGTGGTAACTATGAATAATTAATGTTTAGTTAAGGCAAACAGCCCTAGCCTTTGTTATTTTTGTAATCTCTGGTAGTCTATGCTAAGCTCTGTACTGAATAAAGATCCTTCTAATTGCTAATTTGTCTCTGGTGTTGTAACTGAATTCCAAGTCTAAGTCTTGTGCCTAACCCTGACCACATATGCTACCTTGGTAAGAGTGTGCATCTCTGGATAGAGTTGCTACTGTGTTAAATCCCAGGTGCTAACTAAGGGTTGAAATCTCTCCCTTAGGAAAGGCAGGGACTAGTGAAAAGAGGTTCTGGTGGCAAATCCTTGTGAAGACCAGAGATGGTACAGACTGTCTCGTGGCTTGTTGTTTAATGTACTGAAAAGTACAGGATTCCCTCCCATCCCTGGACTGGCCTGGGTGGGCTAATCCTGTACAACCCCCCAAACCACAACACTTTGGTGCCTACAGATAAACATGGCTCTGGCTGGAGTGAACCAAAAAAAAGGCGGGGAACCAGCATACATGAATTGTAGCAAAGAACAAGAGACGGCTGGCTGAAATCACTATAAGGTGAACAAAAATATATATAAAAATATTATTTAATGCCGAGTTCACTAGCACAATAACCATATAACTATATGAAGCCAAGGTAACCTTACAAAAACCAACAGCAGTACAAAAAAGTAAAGATCAGTGGTACAGAGAAGTAAAGTCCCAAAAAATGTCAATGTGTCTCAGTGCTATTGTATTCTAATTCCATAGTTCAACTTGACATGCATTCATCATAGAATGGACTCATATAATTCCAGAAGGATCCATACAATCTTGGAATCCATAAGCGACACGTAGTCCGGATGCAAGCTGCCGCGTTTCGAATAATTCTTTGTCAAAGCCAATAGGCTGCAGTGGGACCCAATCTCAGTGGGACCCATGATTCTCTGTGACTGGTTAAACTGGCTTCTGTATGTGCTACTACACTGGCTTTTCTTCTGCTAGGGTCCTACCTGGACCTACATGGCAGAGTTTATGGGTTAGCCATAAATTTGAATATGTGTGGCCCCGGTCACACGGACCAGATAAAGCAGGGGGAGGTGTGTCTGTTCATCCCAGAATAAAGTGCGGTAGCCCAATCACACGGTCTCCCGAGTCTCCGTGCTTTGGCTGTTAGCTGGTTATCACGCGGCGATGCTGCAGCGTGGCAAAGAAGACACGCGGTGTGATCACACAAACGTTTTGCATTTGTGCACATGTGCAGTTATGCAGAGCAGCATTGCTTTCAGTTCCATGTTTGAGCACATGCACTTATGAAAAACATCCGGTTTGTGATGGGACGTGGACGGGCGCCGGATGCCACGGGATACTAGCGCTCCCGCGATCAGATGCCCGCCTGTGCCGCATGTTTTCCAGATACTAGTGCACTTTCCTTGGTACTTTTAAACTCCGCATCTTCGGCAGGTTGGCCACGAGTGTGCTATGCTTCCCAGATGTTGTGGTGTGATGGCGCCCTGAAAATCCGCCTGACATTCGTGCCTTTCGCACGGCAAATTCTCCATGTGAACGGGGCCTTAGATAGGCAAGCACCCTGAGGTATCTTATTTTACAGGGAGGTAACCAAAACAGACATTTCAGGTTGTCTGATGCAAGTTCCTGGGGCAGGGAACCCTATCAGTGCTGCTGTTTAATACCTGGAGCTTCATCCCGAGTGGCGTAAGGGAATGATCTTTGAAGTGCAAGCAAGGGCAAGCAAAGAGCTGCTCTTTGGTGCTCTGAGCACGGAGCCAGGCTGACTCACTGGCAGACTCGTTGGGTCGCCTCTTACGGTTAGATAGATAGATTAGATTAGATAAATATTAGATGTGTTGCAGTTTCAGCCTCTTAAATAATTAATCATGCCTTAGTTTAATCCAGTCCTGGCGTCAGTGCCTTCCTTTTCAGGCGGAGGGACCAAGAAGATTTTTTGCGAAGTTTCTATTTCTCTTTGCGGCTGTGCCACAAGCAGCCCCCCAATCCTGCTTAAGCAAAATTCCAAGTGTTCGGTATGTTTAGATGAAGACAGAGGCAATCTTGATTTTTTTTAAAAAAAAATCATGCAACAAAAGAAAAGAGGTTGATCCATGCTGAATATACATAACTATCACACTGCTTCTGAGTTAAAGAGAGCCAATGTAATGCAGTGGTTAAAGTGTCAGACCATGATGTGCGAAACCCAGATTCAAATCGCCTCTCTGCTGTTGAAGCTTGCGGGGTGACTTTGGGCCAGTCGTTCCCATCTTTGGGTTGGGAAATTCCTGCAGATTTGGGGGCGGAGACTGGGGAGGGCGGAGTTTGTGAAGGGCGGGTGGGAGCTCAGTAGTGGTACGGTGCCATACAGCAGGCGTTCCCAACCTTTTTGAAATTGCAGGCATCTTTGGAATCCTTAGAGGGGGTGGTGGGCACCGGCCCGAAATTATCTTCCACGGGAAGCTTCGGCCAAACCCAAAATGGCTGCCTCAGGAGGTGGAACCAAACAAAATTCTTCCCTCTTCACACCTCCTGGCAGGGCTCTTTTTGTAGAAAAAGCCCAGCAGGAACTCATTAGCATGATAGGCCACATCCAACACCAGAAACTCATTAGCATATTAGGCCACGCCCCTGCCAGCACAGCTCATTAGCACATTAGGCCACACCCCCATGTTACCAGGAGTGTCGACATCCAGCCACACCCACCTTTTGCTTGTTATTCTCTTTAACTTGTTTGTTGTCAAAACTCTGGTCTTTTTTTGTAGCAGGAACTCCTTTGCATGTTAGGTCACACACCCCTAATGTAGCCAATCCTAATGAGTTTCTGCTATTGGGTGTGGCCTATTATGCTAATGAATGCCTGCTGGGCGTGGCCAACTCAGGAGCCAGCTGGAACTCCGTTCCTGTGCATTCCTACCCAAAAATAGCCCTGGTTGTTGGGAAGATAAAATAGAGGAGAGGAGAATGATGTAAGCTGCTTTTGGTCCCCATTGAGGACAAAGGCAGGATATGAATAAAGTGAATAAACTAAAAACCATTTGAGAATGGTTTAGAAAGGATACGAGTAAATAGTCTTGGGATATTGAATGTACAGGAATCTGAATCTTGTTCAAAAAACCAGACTGAGAACTTGAATGCTGTAATTTGATTTTAAAAGTGATTAGTACATCTGGGGAAAATACACTGTCAATATTTCAGGCAATTTCACACACTCTTCCCGTAAATACAGATCAAAGAATTTCAAGTCACCAATTTGAGTGGCCATGTGACATGGCGAGAGTGGGAATTTCTGTGATCATACGTGGATTAAATTTTGGATGAATTCAATCCATTGGTGGGTTCCGGTGTTTTAAAGAACTTACAATACTTGTACATTAACTTTCCCCTCCAGAATAAAGTAGAACTGAAGATATTTCCAGGTTCTAAGAAATTTAGAGCAATTGACATATTACTGTGGTGCTCAACAAGGTCTGTTGCACAAAATTGACATTTTGCTACAGGAAAAGGAGGCAGTTCTTAAACAATACAGATAAAGTCAGGTGAGGGATTTTAGGATGAAATTAGCACCAAAATGTGGAAGAAAAGATTAAAGGAGGTCTTTCAAATCTCATGGAATGTTGAACTCGGGAAAAAGAGTGTTTGAAAATAATTTACAGATGATATTATACACCCAACTAATTCTCCAAGAACTTTGAAAAGTATGCCAATTGTTGTTGATGATGTAGAAATCAGGTGGGTCCTTTTTGCACATGTTGTGGGAGCGCCATCTTGTTATAAACTTCTGGAGTCAAATCCATAAGGAAACATATGGTATACTGAGGGTCAATTTGGATTTTTCCTTGGGCTACTATTATGCCAATAAAGATATAGCTCAGAAAGCAAAATGGTACCTGTCAAGGCAATTGTAGCTGCCAGAATACTTTTTGGCCTATTACTGGAATCAGCAATCCCTGCCAAAAGTTGAGACCTGGTTATGTAAGATATAGCACACAATGCTAATGGACAAAATGTGTGTGTTAAAACACAAAAAGCCTTTTAAAAAAAAAAGATGTTCCGATCCTCTTCACACAGAGATGGTTGCTGTTTGTTGATGGAGCAGAGGTCCATCAGTGGCTATTAGCCACAAGGTATAGATAGGGACTCTGGGGCAAGTGATGCTCTGTCATCTTGGTGCTTGGGGGGGGTCAACAGTGGGAGGGCTTCTAATGTCCTGGCCCCACTGGTGGACCTCCTGATGGCACTGGTATTTCTGGCCACTGTGTGATACAGAGTGTTGGACTGGATGGGCCTTTGGCTTGATCCAACATTGACATCTCTTATGTTATGTTCTTATGAATATTAGAATATTGAGTTTCTGGTGAAAGCTGTAAACACTATGTTCTTATACTGATTTAAAGCATGCATATGGGTTGGCAGAACTATAATCTAACTTCTAAGATGATCATGATACACCTTTGGGTATAGAAATCGTATATCACCGGGACAGCATTCTCTTTGTATCGTTTTTGACTTCAAAGAAGAATCACCAAAACCTCTATGGATTCAGGGAAACTTTCACTCTACTCAACCCTCCAGTTTCTACTTCAGTACTGATTTGTCAGCCACTGATTTCCTTGCAAGCTATCCTTTCTCATCCTGTCCAACAAAACACCAGACTGTAATTTTTTTTTACATTGGCTAGGTATGTGTGTCTTTTTATCTGGAGTCCAGTGAACACATGAAGCTGCCTTATACTGAATCAGTGTGGTTTATCCTTGAATCAGTGCAGAAGTTTACCTTACCTTGGATGTCTGGATAATTTGCCATGAGGAGCAATGCCCACTGCAGAGCAGTGGCAGTGGTTTCTGTGCCTGCGAAAAAGAGGTCAAAAATACACTGAGCCAGGTTCTCTTCATTGTATGTAGAGTTGGGTTCATCCGTGCTCTGCTGTGAGTAAGAAAAGAGACAGTGGGGGGTTACAACAGATTCCAGGTATTTTGATTCTGCAACCACATAAATACAGCTCTACAAATGTACAGAGGGGCTATCAGACCAGCAGGCAAGATCTGAGAGGAAAGGGAGAGTGGTATGACATTTCTTCCAAAGAATTATTTGAATTGCGTGATGTACATGCTGTTTCCTATATTAAGTTCACCCTGACCTGGATAGCCCAGGCTAGCCAGATCTCATCAGATCTTGGAAGCTAAGCTGGGTTGGCCCTAGTTATTATTTGGATGGGAGACAACCAAGGAAGCCCAGCCTCACTACGCAGAGGAAGGCAATGGCAAACCACCTCTGAATGTCTTTTGCCTTGAAAGCAGTACAGGATCACCATAAGTCATCTGTGACTTGATTGTACTTTGCACATATTAAGTTCAGTATTCTGTGGACTGTGCTGCAATCATGTTGTCTGCATTAGGGATGGGCACAAACTGGCTGACAAAATAAAGTTCGTCATGAATTTTGGCCGGTCCGTGGTTTGTGAAGCAAAGATCGTGAACTGAAGAGCTGCCACAAACTTTCACAAATTTTGAAGCTGCTTATGGAGGTTCATGAAGAACAGAAAGCAGGGGTTTAAACCTCCCCATTGCTTGGCTGTTTGGCTTAAATGGCCCTTTGCTTTCCGCTCCCCACAAAAAGCAGCGGGGAGCTGAAAGCAGGGGTTTAAATTTTAAATGGCTCACTAACTGATACAAATTGAGTGGGTTCGCAAACCAACCTCCCGGTTCATATGGGTTCATGATTTTGCCACATCTTACTAATAACTTACCAGGGTCACAATGAGAACTGGCAAGTTATAGCTGTCAGTCAGAATCCTCTACACATTCTTTTTTTTATATAAAGGTTTTTATTGACTCCCCTAAAAAGGGGAGGTGTTTCGCTTAAAAGAAGTAATGGGAAGGGTAGACAGTGGGAGAAAGAGAAAGCTGAGTGATATATAAACTGGTAAATTAAACTGTTAGTAATGTCCAATTAATCTTCTTGGGCTTCTTCTGTGTGTTGTCAAACTTCTTTTCTTAGTTCAGTCACATATAATTCTCTGTTAATATGTTAGTAATGTTCCCTTGAATTTCTGTTAATGTTCCCTTGAGTTCCCTTGAGTTTCTGTTAATAAAAAAAGAAAAATCTCTTCTGGACACAGTCAGAACCGCTTCTTTGCGTGCTGGGCACTTTTACTATCGCTGACGTGTAGGGGCTTCCTCTGTTGTCTTCTACTTCCGGCTTGTTAAATCCTCCTTCGGGTTGCTGTTAACACACTCAGTTCATGCACTATAAATCCTCTTCCTTTCATGCCTTGGAGGTCCCCAACTTTGAGAATGGTATTAATTTCATTTCGCTTTTATTTCCGCTCCCAAACTCTCTATTGGGTCCTCCTCGAAACTGGACGTATATAAGCGCTTGCCAGGCACTCCTCGCTGTCACAGTTCAAACTTTTCCATTTTACAAAACTCCCATCGGATTCACAACCATAAACAGTCCAAAACACTAAACAGCCGGCTCTCACACACAAGCAAACGCCCAGACGGAAGTCCCTCCCTTCTCTCCGCTCGTTTTTGCCCAGCTCCGACATCTTTTCTTTTTTGTTTACTTTTAGAAAGTTCTTAAATTGTGCTCCAGAGAGACAAAACTTTCTCTCGCTTTATTTCAAATACATCAAGGGAAAACATCACTGTTCGCTCAGTCCATTCCCCCCCTCCTTTTCTTTTTCGCTTATGCAGTTAGAGGGTTAACCTCCTCGCCTTTTTCGCTGGGTGGGGGGGAAGCGGTTTTAGATCTTTTTCTTTGCATTTTGACAACTCACAGTTAGGCCGATCTTTTCTTTTTCAACTTTTTCGGATGCAAGGTCCATTGGGGCAGGGCATGGCGGGAGCCTCGGTCTCCGACCTCTCGGCCGAAAGAGCGACTCCCCCCTAGTGCGCCCTAAAGCGCCCCGGATCCTCTCTCCTCTCTCCTGAGGTGCTCGTTCGGGTCTCCGCTCGCGTGGATTCCCTCCTCCACCGCGGGCGGGCGAGACGCCCTCGGGAGCAACCTGAGGATGCGTCCACCATTCGCGGGAGCCAGACCGGAAGCCAGAATCCTCTACACATTCTGAAACTATTTATTTATTTACTTGTTTATGGTATTTATAGTCTGCCTTTCTCACAGGGGCTCAAGGTAGCTTACACAGAGTGAGTCAATACAATCGAAAGATGGGACAATCAATAAACAATGCAATAAGATTAGGTTCATAAACCCACTTAGAAATCGAAAAACAGAACTGAAGAAAAGCATAACTATTAACGTGACATGTGAAATGATGTAAAATTCCTTAGTAGGATCCTGGTTTCACCAAGCTAAACCACCGTCTGCAATAATTTTTCCAAGTAAGTTTGTGAATAATTTAGTGCAGTGCAACTCTATTGCCTGCACAGAAAAGCTCTCTTGAATAATTCAGTTATGCGTACCTATCCAAGGGACCCTGCTAAGTGGTAACAACCCACAATGAGAGAACTGCCTCCTTTCCTCATGGTGGTTGATGCAGTCTGTTTTCTTAAATGTTAAACGTAAAATATGGAGCAGAGGTCCATCAGTGGCTATTAGCCACAAGGTATAGATAGGGACTCTGGGGCAAGTAATGCTCTGTCTTCTTGGTGCTTGGGGGGGGTCAACTAATGTCCTGGCCCCACTGGTGGACATCCTGATGGCACCTGGTATTTCTGGCCACTGTGTGACACAGAGTGTTGGACTGGATGGTGTTACTTGTGTTACTGTACAGTTTCTCCCTCCCCCTTCTGGTTGCTAGCCTGTATTTTATTCTGCTGTAACGCCAAGCCAAACATCTGGAGGACGTGGTGTAGGAGTGAGCTTGAATGCTAGCTTGTTGCTTTTAGTTCCTGGGAACTGCACCTGTATTATGTCTGGAGATAGCAGTGTTCCCAGGGAATGAGCGCGCAACCATTTCCTTTCACCCGCCAGCGGGAAAGTGACCCATTGGTTATGTACCTGGTTCAAATCCCTTTATTATGCTTGCCCTAGCTGTTTGTACCCATTCCTAACAAAGAACTTGTTTGAGTGTCTTTCCAAAGCTTTGAAATAAAGAGGAGGAAGCAGCAGGAGGAGGTAAGTTCCCCCCATCCCGCCAGTTCCTCCCCGTCTCCTTCCCCCCCTCCCCCCCCCCTGCTCGATTTACCCCCCTTGCCTTCCCCCTGGCTCTGAAGTGAGGCCCGAGCGGCTTGCCGCTCAGCCCTTGCTGCTGTCCTCCCCCCCGAAGCAGCGGCGGTGGCCCGCGGTGAGGGAGTTCGCAGAGTTTTCCCTACGCATGCGCGGGGGATGCTCTGTCACTTTTGGGGGGGTTTAAGTATCCCCCCGGTATTTTTCTGGGTTTTTAGATTTTTGTGCACACCTGGGGATTGCCCCAAGTGTGCACAAAAATCTCCCTCCCCCCAGGTGCCCCCGATACACGGATTTAGGTATCCGCACGCACGGGGGCCACTTCGCTATTAGATACATAGATACTTCATATACCTGATAATAAAGGCTCCAGTACATGGAAACTTATGGCACAATCAGTCCTTTGGATACCACAAACCTCTGTTTGCTTTTTCATTGAACGAGTAAGGGGTAAATAGACATCCCCTCTCTTTGACTGCGATGTACTATTCTTGACATTTTTTGTACTCAGGCCTCTCTTCTGAACTTCCTGTGCTTTTTGCCTTCTCACATATAAGCACTGTTTGTTGCACAGGTGAGCATGTTGAGAAACTTGCATGCAAAGGCATGCCCAGAGCCTACCACAACATGAAAGGATCTAATAAATAGGTAGGGATGCCAAGATGAGGAAGTAGATTCAAACAAGATCTGTCTGAACTTTCCTAAGTCTATACAAATGCATTCACCTTGGCCTGGATAGCCTAGGCTAGCCTGATATCAGACCTTAGAAGCTAAGCAGGGTCTTAGCTTGGTCAGTATTTGGATGGGAGACCACCAAGTCCAGGGCTGTGACTCAGTGGCGGGAAATGGCCAACCACCTCTGAATGCCTCATGCCTTGAAAATCCCATTGGGTCACCATAAGTCAGCTATGACCTGACAGCAAAAAACAAACATGCACACTCACACACAGGAACTTAACTATTAGCCAGTACTTGGATAATGCTGTCTCCTCTGCTGAAGCAGCTAATATTCTACCAGAACTACACTATGGATGGGCACGAACTGGGTCACAAATTCCATGAATTTTAAGGCAGTTTGTGGCAGTTCATGAAAAGCAGAAAGTGGGGGTTTAAATGGCTCAAAGTCATTGAATCCCCTACTTTCTGCTCCCCGTAAAAAGTGGTGGTGAGCCATTTAAACCAAACAGAAAAGCAGCAGAGAACAGAAAGTAGGGGTCTTAAACCAATATGAACGAGTTCAGTTCATGAACCGATGTATCGATTTGTGTTACAGCCACAAACCATGAACCAAACCAGGAGTTATTTCCAGGCGGAACGCACAGGAACACCATTTCTGCAGTAACAAGCCCAGGGGATGGATACTTTGCATGCAGGGGATGGATATTTGCTTCAGGGCAGGCTCTCCTCCCACCCGCCCGCCTCCTCGTCCTCTTCCTCTTGGCTGTGGCGAGCGAGCAAGAGGGAGGGTGGAGGGAGGGTGAGCAAGCCCAATACAAGCGAGCCCAATAGTAGCAAAGAGAGTGTGGTGCCTTTAAGGAGGAGGTAAGTGGTGATTGAACAGGGGCTGAACACGGTGGGGCAAACTGCACACAGGAGCGCGAAGACCTGAGCTGCTTCAACCGATGGCTGTTTGCCCTATGTCTGCTTTGGAAGACAGGGAAAAAGCGGGCCGAAAAGCCCCTTCTCAGACCTCCAAACATTGGCCACTATTTCTGCAAAGAAAATGATGGAGGAGCAAAGGGGCAAAAGGAGATGGCAGTATTGCAGGTAGATCTGCTTTGGCGAGGCTGGCCAGCTGGCTTCTTCCGGTGAGCTCTTGTGTTACAAATATGGAAATCCATGGGGAACAGAGTGAATTCCCCCCGTCCTGTGGCTGCCCCCTTTTTCTTTTACTTCAAACTCTAAAGCAGAAAGAAAGAAAGGTGGTGTGTGTGTGTGTGTGCGCGTATGGACACAGAGAGACAGTGGAAGAAAACTATGAATTAAAAATAACATACCTTTTTCTAATCAGGCTTCTTACTATTCACAGTGCTCAAAAAGTTGGGGTGAAAATGTGGCTTCCGTTTAGGGTTGCCAAGTAGCACTTTCCTTGCCGGCGGGGGACTCCCATGCGGATCCCAGCGCGCACGCCGCATGCACGTCACAGGGAAGTGACGTCATGACACCGGGCACGCTGGGGGCAGGGCCATGACCCTACAAGGGAAAACCATAGAGTTTTCCCTTGTATGGCTGTGGCCCCGACCCCAGCGTGCCCGGCATCATAACGTCACTTTCCTGTGGCGTGCATGCTGGGGCGGGGTTCCCCCCGGGGCCACCCGGCGTCGGGGAACAGCCCTCTGGGGCGGGGGGATTTCTGCCCCCCGGGAGAACTTGGCAGCCCTACTTCTGTTCCTCCCACCCACCCCAGCAACACGCCTTTGCCAAAGTTTGTTTTCAACCAGCCTCTCCCCGCCCCTTCTCTCTGGCGTCCTCTTTGGATTTCTCCTGCTTTCCCACTCTTAGGCCGAGTTCAGACTAGCAGTTTGCCCCGATATAGGCACAAGCCAGAAACATTTCACAAATGGATTAAAGGGGCCGTTCACACAGGAACATCTGTCAGGCGCTCCCCAGCCGTACACAACCCGTCTTGTAACGCTTCCCTCCCGAGTTTAAAAGATGGCAGGTGAAAGTGGTATCAAACCCTGGAACGTGCGATTATCCCATGTCCATCCCGCTTCCCAGAAGCGTGAACGTGAAAAGCCAGAAAAAGCCACTTACAGCTGCGTCTCCGGGCCAACAGTGTAAACGCTCCCTTGCGCCTCCTCCCCGGTATGCTCCCGCATCAGTCGGTGCGGTGTGACTGGGAAAACCCGGAACAGTTTGTACAAAAAGGAAGGACAGGATTGCCCATTGGAAATAATGGGAGCCCGGAATGCCAATTGACTTGCATGCGCGCCTTTGAAATACATTACAGCTCAAGAATCAGGGCTATTTTGGGGCAGGAACGCACAGGAACAAAGTTCCAGCTGGCTCTCAAGTTGGCCACGCCCAGCAGGAACTCATTAGCATAATAGGCCACACCCAACAGCAGAAACTCATTAGGATTGGCTACATTAGGGGTGTGTGGCCTAACATGCAAAGGAGTTCCTGCTACAAAAAAAGGCACTGGGTTTTGACAACAAACAAGGTAAACAGAATAAGAAGGGAAAAGTGGGTGTGGCTGGATGACCACACTTCTGGTAACATAGGTGTGTGTGGCCTAATGTGCTAATGAGCAGTGCTGTCAGGGTGTGGCCTAATATGCTAATGAGTTTTGCTTTTGGGTGTGGCCTATTATGCTAATGAGTTCCTGCTGGGCTTTTTCTACAAAAAGAGCCCTGTGAATAGTTGCAAAGAAAATGTGGAATGGATTTTGTGAGTGTGTGTGTGTGTGTTTGAGCTTGGATGTCTGACTGCCCTGGATTGTATAGATGTCTCGTGGGGTTGCAGGGCAGCTGCGGCATAGTTGCATGTCTCCCATAGGGTTGCCAAATGGCGCCGGGGGGCGGGGAATCCCCCATTTTGACGGCCCAATTTTCGACGCGATGAAAATCGGGCCCAGGGAAACCCCACCCCCACGTGCGTGTCACCCGGAAGTGATGTCGCACGCTGGGGGCAGGGCCACGGCCATTTGAGGGGAAAACTCTTTGTGCATGCGCACACCCAGATTCCGGCCAGGAGCCCCCTGCTCCCGGCCAAAAGAGATTTGGCAACCCTAGTCTCCCACTTGCTCGGTTTGGGTTTTGAGTAAGAGAATTTCCCAGTGTGTTGGGCCCCCTGGAACAAATCTGTTGGTTTCCCTCCCCCATTTTTAATAACACCCAACTAAGGCAGATCATGTCTCGCCTGATCTTAGTGTAGGGCTATCCTTGCTACAGCCTGCCTTGATGTGTTTGTGGTAGATGGCAAATTGTGTACATGGCGCTGGTGTGATGTCTGTTTGGGATTATACCTTGTCTGGCCTTAATGTGTGTGAAGGTGCAATAGAATGCATGCTCCTCAAGATTGCTATAAACATTACCCTTTTAATTAATATCTCTCCCAGGCATGTGGTTGCCAAAATAATCTTTGTTTTCCTGATTTATTGCAGAAAAAGCAAAAGCATACTATCTTGATCTGTATTTTCATGTTTGTTGTAAGGTAGCTTCCCTGCAAAAGCAACCTAAAGTGTCTTTAGTCAAAGGGTAAAGCTGTCTCGCCAGCTCTGAGTTGGGAAATACCTGGAGATATTTGGGGTGGAGCCTGAGCGGTGGGTGTTGCCTTCTGACACACTTCCGGTGATGTCAGGGGGTGTGGCATATGCAAATGAGTTATGCTAATGCACATTTGCACCTCTTTTTCTACGAAATGACCCCTGGACCAACCCAAAATGCAAAAATGTGCTTCATGCCCATCCCTAAACTACACTGCTCCACCAATTCCTGTGCGTTACAAATGCTTTAAAATTTCTGACCCGTCGAAATGTTTCTAAGTATTACATAACAACTCAAAACTGAGTCAGAAAGTGGGAAGAGGTTGGAACAAAAATCCGTATTGGTCCACACAAAATTTAAAACCAAGAACGAAATCTGTGCCATGCCTTTTATTAGAACCAACCATTTCAATCCTTTTGTACAGGAAATAGATAAATAAAAGTTAAAAGATTGCAGTTTGCCTTTACCTTCTTTTCATTGAGTGTATCTGATTTCCCATACAAGATGGAAACTTACTTTCTCCATGTGAAATAAATAGAAGTCAATGAAATCCTGTGGATCGTGTGCAGCATGTCGCTCCTTGTGCTGCTGTATCTCCTCCTTTGCAAATGATCGCACGGTCTCTGCATATGCAAGCACCTTCTTGTGGGGACCTGGGAGACGTTCCATGAGCCTTGGGAAAAGTATATACAACTGCATCAAAGAAGAATGAAAAATCCTGTCATAACCAGGAGAACATGTCAGTAACACGGTCTATGGAACAACTCCTTTGGGTTCTCACGCCAGCATCCTGGCTCGGATTACATCGGCCCCTGCCACACGGGGGGAAAAAACACCGGCAAAGTGCGGCTTTTAAAAGCCGCACCAAAATAGACACACTGCGGTGGGGTCCCACGGATCCTATGAGCCGTGGCGCGTTGCTCCCCGGCACGATCAGATGCCGGGGAGGAAGCCACGGTCGGGAGACCGAGGCAGCCGGCTGCACATGCATGCGCATGCACAGTTCGGCCAGGAGCTGGGGATGCGCCGGCAGAAGGATGCGCCAGCGATCCCACAGCCACACTTGCCACGGCCGTTCAGGTAAGACCTCCTCAGGAGGTGGTTTAGTTTAGATGCAGGTTTTCGGCCGGAAGGGCCGGATCGGGGACGGGTGCGCAACGTTTCCCAGATGTTGCAGTGGGATCGCGCCCATTTGCTGTGCCCCCGATCCATCCCTCTCCCGGCCCCAAACCTTTTGTGTGACCGGGGCCATCAATTCACTTTGCTCTCAGTGGGTGAAAGGTGGGACCAATTGAGAAAGGCTGAGAAGAAATTCTAATGAAGGGCCAATATTAAAAACCTAGTTTTAACTTATAATATACAAAAATACGAGGATTTATTAGAAAGACAGTTAAAAACATACATAAGGGCCCAATGAAAGCCTCGTAAAAAAGTATAGCCTAAACCCAAGGGCCAGTACACATGACCTGATGCATTTCTGCTTTATTGGGACCTTCTTCAGAGGTCAAACAATATTGAGGTACACATAACTTAAATACATATTGCAATAAGATAACCAATAAGTGAATATTGGACCAGGAAGAGGAAGGTTAAGCAGCAAGATCTTGTATATTATAAGTTTCAACCAGGTTTTTAATACTGGCCCTTCATTAGACTTTCTTCTCACCCTTTTGGTTCTTGGTTCCAGTTTTTGGGTCAGGTTTGTTTTCACTGGGACCAGTTCAGAAGCCTATTGATGAGTATCACATTTAATTACAGATTCAGGTGGGTAGCCGTGTTGGCGTGAAGCTACAGAACAATGTTTGAGTCCAGTGGCACCTTTAAGACTTTGTTGGTACCTTTCTTAAAGGTACCACCGGATTAAAACAATTAATTACTGCCTACTTCTATGCTTCAACAACCTCAGATATGCAGACAATACCACTCTAATGGCAGAAAGTGAAGAGGACCTTAAGAGCCTCTTGCTCAGAGTAAAAGAGGAGAGTGCAAAAGTGGGCTTGAAGCTCCACATAAAAAAAACTAATTCCCTGGAAGGCCAGATACTGAAGCTGAAGCTCAAATACTTTGGCCACCCAATGAGAAGGGAGCACTCACTGGAGAAGACCCTGATGCTGGGAAAGACTGAAGGTCAAAGAAGACGGGGACGACAAAGGATGAGATGGTGAGACAGTGTCATAGATGCAACGAACATGAAGTTGAGCCAACTTCAGAGGACGGTGGAAGACCGGAAGGCCTGGCGTGATCTGGTCCATGGGGTCGCAAAGAGTCAGACTCGACTGGGCAACTGAACAACAACTTCTATGCTGGCAACTGTAAATACATTTGATGAACACATGAAGCTGCCTTATACTGAATCAGACTCTTGGTCCATTGAGGTCAATATTGTCTACTCAGGCTGGCAGCAGCTCGCCAGGGGCTCAGGCAGAGGTCTTTCTCATCACCTACCATCTGGTCCTTCCAACTGGGGACTGAATGTGGGATCGTCTGCATACCAAGCGGATGCTCTACCACTGAGCTTTGTATGCCTCTCTGGCATAGCACAACTAAGATGAGGACAAGTGACACAGAGGGTACTTGGTCATATGAATACGGAATATGTTGTGAGAATGTCAGTCATAGTGTAGTACGACAAAGGCATGGGCTAAAATCAATGCTCCCTCTAAGCTGTGGAGTCTTGTGAGCAAATGTTCCACTTTGTGAGCGACTGGCATTCAAGTTGTGAGCGAGCGATTTGGCTGCTGCATCAATTAGATTGCTCTGGAGGCATCCTTCCTGAGCTAAGACGAAAATGTGTGAGCCGGAGGCTAAAAAAACCTGTGAGCTAGCTCACACTCACTCAGCTTAGAGGGGACACTGGTTAAAACGATAAAATACAAGGGTGGCAAAGGTGTCTCCGTGTCACTACACGTGACTCCATGCCTGGAGAAGTAATGGGCTGGATGAGGGTAAAGAAACTGAAACTTAGGTCAAATCTGCATTTATCTTTCCCACTGGTGTCCCAGCCTTTTGACTCCGTCTTCAAAAAAGCTGTCTACATTTGGTGTCGTTTTCACACCTCAAAAGTGCTAGCATACTTTTGCACGTCCACATATGTTTATCGTCTTTTCGGGGCGGCTCCACTGTCATTGCGTCTCTGCACTGCTTTAAAAGAATCTTCTCCAAACAACATTCAAACAAGCATAGAGAAAGACAGTGTCACAACAGCATGAAACTAATTTAAAAATGCAAATGCAGATTTGACCTATATCTTGTTATTGTAATGGCCTATGGCTAAAGGCAATAAAAACTGAACCTGAACTCAGCTTAGAGGGAACACTGATCTAGACTCAACTATGTTGGATTCTCTGAACTTGGTACTGCCAGGGAACCATGGAAAGATAGCAGAGTGCTCAAAGGCTTTAATGCAGCAGAGCTTGGGACTAGGTGTGGCAACAGACTTACAAAATTACACGAAGTCAGCAGTCAGTTCAAAAGCGCATAAGTAACTTCTATTAAAGGAGATACATGCTTGAGGCTGCAGGTGAGAGATAGATATAGATGACCTATTCTAACTAACTAGATGGTGCTGGATGCAGGACGCATGCCCAGCCTCCATGGTGCAAGATGGAGATCATGCACCTTCTTTGCAAGCATGCGAGAGAGAAGAGAGTGTGAGCGGAAGCAGAGGAAATTGTCCCAAAGAGAAGCATTCTACTTCAAAGGAAAGGACCAGATAGCAGGAAGGAAAAGGATGATCTATGTGTCCTGACCTTTATCTGTCTAAACTCTTTGGTGCCATCTTCTCAAGTCTGAAACAGGAGACAGCACAAAGTCCTCCACTTCTAACAAACTATTGCAATGTGCTCTTCTTGAGGCTACCTTGGAAGAGTGTTCATAAACTGCAGCTACGGCAGAATGCTGCTGGTTGGGGCCCACCACTGAGAGCATGTGACTTCAATACTACTGCAATTACATTGGCTACTGGAATATCTGAAGACCATCTTCTCCCACACATTATTTCCTGGGAATTAAGATCACAGGGAGATGGCCTCCTCACTGTTCCACCAATCAGAAGCTCATCTGGTGTGCACAGGAGAGGGCCTTTTTGATGGCAGCCCTACAATTATGGAACAACCTCCTCAGTGTTGGAAAAATTGTCAAAATAGTTAAATATTCAGAGATTGCAATGGATCTTAGCTTCACTGGACAGGAAGCATTTTCTTCTATGTAAAAATCTTTATTTCTAAGGGAAGGATTCACAGGAAATCTACAAAACAACAAAGACACCTAAGGCTACATCTTTACACTTTGACCACATGGTCTACAACAATGGAGATTCTTCTTCTTCTTGACTCCTAGAAGAAAATGACCTGAATACATTAACCAATGATTGTGAGTAAACAGACTTCAGTTTCACGGGCTTTGTTTCCATTGGCTCTGTGCCAGGTTTCCTTCCAGGTCAGTCTAAACAATAGCACACAAGGTAAGCACACATTAACCCTATAATGACTGAATTTTAGACCTTGCAACACACATATTTCCAACACTCAAGGAGGTGTGCCTGGCCCTCTCACTTTAGATCTTTGGAAGGCAGTTGAAGACAATTTATTTAGGACCACATTTGACTAATTTAGGCCCCGGTCACACTGGGGGGAATAGGCACGGCCAAAGTGCGGCTTTTTTGAGCCACACCGAAAGAGACGCGCGGCGGCGGCGGGATCAGACAGATCCCCCGAGCTGCCGCGCAGTTGCTCCCCGGCATGATCAGATGCCGGGGGCAAACCACGGACTGCAGAGCGAGGCGAGCCCGCTGCGCATGTGCACGCCTGTGCAGTTTGCCCGGGGGCCTCACATGCTGTCGGAGACGGGTGCCCCAGCAATCCCACGGCCGCCCCTGCTGCGGATTTTCAGCTAAGTAGTAGTGTTTTCTAGGGGTTTTTTAGATGCGCAGTTTCGCCCGGAAGGGATGGATCGGGGAAAGTTTTGCTCCGCTTTCCAGATGTTGCGGTGTGATCGCGCCCGCTTGATGCGCCCCCGATCCATCCCTCTCACGTGGCAAATCCTCCCATGTGACCGGGGCCTTAGCTTATTTGTCAGCAGTCCTAGTTGGGAATTTTCAATTGTGGTCTCTTTGTGTGTTTGTGTTATTAATAATTGTTGTTTTATTTATATGGTAAGCCACTTTGAGTTCTGTAAGGTAGAAAGGTAGCTAAAATATGTTTTAAATATTATTTATATGGTAAGCCACTTTGAGTTCTGTAAGGTAGAAAGGTGGCTAAAAGATACTTTAAATAGATAAGATAAGCAAGTGAACACTCCTATTTCTTGAGAGTGGGTACTGCCCCTGACCAAAGATAACAGCCTAAAGCAAGAACGCTGCTGAATCAGACCAATGTTCCATCTAGTCAAGCATCCTGTCTCATACAGTGGCCAACAAGTTCCTCTGGACAGCCAACAACTGAGCCCGCTTGCTTGGAGGGTGGGATCCAAATTGAATCAAAGAAATAAAAAATAGAGGCTGAAGCCTTCACAAGAACATCAGAAAAACCATGCTGGATCAGCCCAGTGGTCCATCTAGTCCAGCATCCTGTCTCACACACCGACCAACCAGTTCCTCTGGAGGGCCAACAACAGGGCACAGGGTTTGCCCCTGATGTTGCCTCCTGGCTCTGGGATTCAGAGGCTTAGTGCATCTGAATGTGGAGGTTCCCCTCAGTCACCATGGCTAGTAGCCAATTAATCTATCTAATTCCCTTTGAAAGCTGTATATTTGTGTGACCATCACTACATCCTCTGGCAGCAAATTTTTCAGAACCATCAGTGCTTGTCAAGCCAATATATTTAGAAATGCTTCTGAATCCATCACCTAAAAATACAGTTATTCAGGCCCAGCCTGGAAGGATAGGTACTCTCAGAGACAAGATCTGTCAGAACCAACAGAAACAAAGAAATAAACAAACAAAAAAGACTTACGCCATGGATCGGGGACCTCGCATGCTGCCGGAGACGGGAGCACCGGCGATCCACAGCCGCCCCTGCTGTGGATTTTCAGGTAAGTAGTAGTGTTTTTTAGGGGTTTTTTAGATGCACACTTTCGCCCGGAAGGGACAGATTAGAGACGGGGGCGCTTCGCTTCCCAGATGTTGCGGTGTGATCATGCCCGCTTGATGAGCCCCTGATCTGTCCCTCTCACATGGCAAATCCTCCCGTGTGACCGGGGCCTTAGCTTATTTGTCGGCAGTCCTAGTTGGGAATTTTCAATTGTGGTCTCTTTGTGTGTTTGTGTTATTAATAATTGTTGTCTTATTTATATTGTAAGCCGTCTTGAGTTCTGTAAGGTAGAAAGGTGGCTAAAAGATGTTTTAAATAGATAAGATAAGCAAATGAACACTCCCATTTCTTGAGAGTGGGTACTGCCCCTGACCAAAGATAACAGCCTAAAGCAAGAACGCTGCTGAATCAGACCAATGTTCCATCTAGTCAAGCATCCTGTCTCATACAGTGGCCAACCAGTTCCTCTGGACAGCCAACAACTGAGCCCCCTTGCGGGGACGGTGGGATCCAAATTGAATCAAAGAAATAAAAAATAGAGGCTGAAGCCTTCATAAGAAAATCAGAAAAACCTAGCTGGATCATACCAGTGAGGGTCCATCTAGTCCAGCATCCTGTCTCACACACCGACTAACCAGTTCCTCTGGAGGGCAAACCACAGGGCAGAGAGGCCGAGGCCTTCCCCTGTGGTTGCCTCCTGGCTCTGGGATTCAGAGGCTTAGTGCATCTGAATGTGGGGGTTCCCCTGATAGACTTATTCTCCATTAATCTATCTAATCCCCTTTGAAAGCTGTATATTTCTGTGACCATCACTACATCCTCTGGCAGCAAATTTTTCAGAACCATCAGTGCTTGTCAAGCCAATATATTTAGAAATGCTTCTGAATCCATCACCTAAAGATACAGTTATTCAGGCCCAGCCTGGAAGGAGAGGTACTCTCAGAGACAAGATCTGTCAGAACCAACAGAAACAAAGAAATAAACAAACAAAAAAGACTTACGCCATGGAAAAAGCTCCCGCCAAAGTTTGCAGCATAGCCAATGGCTTCCAACAACCTGATGAATTGTTCATCTTCAACAGAAAATCGATGTCCGAAAACCACAGCACAGATCACATTGGAGACAGAATTAGTAATGGGCAATGAAGGATCAAGAGGATGCCCTGTAATTTAAATGAAGTTAATTACAGAATATCATTATGAGCAGGGGCCGTTTAGTAAAAAAAGAGGTGCAGGAGCTCATTAGCATAAGTCATTAGCATAACTTGTTTGCACATGCCACACCCCCTGACATCACCGGAAGTGTGTCAGAAGGCAACACCCACCGCTCAGGCTCCACTGGACTGTTTTGGATTGCTAGCAATGTAGGGGGGGAACGCCAGATCTGCCCTCACAGAGGAGGGAGAGCTTGTACCTGAAGGTGGGGGGGCTCTGCAACTTACCTGGCTGCTTCTTGCTCCTTGTGGCTCAACTGAGGGCTGCTGGGAGCAGGCGTGGGGCTTGCTGCATGTGCCCACCCCCTGGGCTCCTTACTGCCGGAGCTCCACTCCTGTGCCCTCCCACAGGAAATGACCCCTGATTATGAGCATATTAAAAAGTTGAGCTTTCCAAATTATTATTATTACTTCTGATTAGCATTGGTAGTGGAGAATCCACATGATAGTTTTCCTTGAATGTCCTTTTTTCAGCCCTGCTCAGCAGTCATTTCCCTTCCCTAATATGAGAGGGATTTCCATTTAAGAACTCAATCATTGCTAGATCGCAGCAATGCAATGATGTTCTAACAATTTAGTGACACCCATATAAAGAAAGAGCAAGATGGGTAGCCGTGTTATTCTGTCTGCTTGATAGAGCAACATATCATGGATGGGGATGCAAGTGACCGAAGAGACATAATTTCAGTGCTCTGCATATGCAGGACATAGGTCGTTTATAGTCCTAGGCGTAGCCAAATTAATTCAAGCACCTAGTGGGTAATGACAAGGAGGTCGACCACAAAACTTGTGGGCCAGCTCAGTTTCCTAATTCCACGTACCTTTTGCACGTGCAAAAGTCTCAACAAGCTGATGGGCCTCCTCTTCTACTTGGTGCTCCATGCCTTTCTTCCCAAGTCCCAGCTTCCGCATGGTGGCTAGGCCGAACTTCCTCTGCTGCTTCCACGTGTGGCCGTTTGACAATACAATGCCTGCAGCCGTGAAGAATCCGTGACAAATTAGTATGAAAGCACATTATTATTTCAAAAGTGTTTAGGTTTCCAGCTTAGAAAACATCAAAGTTAATCCTTAGGTATGCTTATGAATGGAATGGTTTACTAATTCTTTAAGAACCATAGAAGCGCAACTCTGCTGCAGAATCAGTCCCTGTCGGGTGCAGCAAATGTTCCCTCTAAGCTATGGAGTCCTTTTGAGCAAAAATTCTACTTTGTGAGCTACTGGCATGAAAGTTGTGAGCAGGTGATATACTGCATATATTTTTAAAAATTTATTTATTGAAGTAATTCATCTTGCTTCCATATAACTCAAACAATACATACCATAACATATATTACATACTTCAATACAATAAATGCTTCTTTCCCCATTCCCCTTTCTCCCTCTCTCGAAATGACCAGCAATAATTCCTTGATTTATAACTTTAACCATGAGCACACCTTTTGAAGTTTAACCAATATATTATTATTGCCCCCCCTGCTTTTACCCATCTTATATACCCTAACCATCTCTTCTTGACTTCCACAATCTTATCCTCACTTAACTTTTCCTGTTTTAATATCGTTAATATGTCCGACTGTATCCATTCATATAAGTAATCATTCCATCTGTCTATACACCATTTTGTAGCATCTTTCCAGCCAAACGCTATAACCGCATGGGCAGCTAAAATCATAGCTTTAAGTAAATCCTGATATGGTTTTTCTATTTTACAGTTCCCTAAAATCCCCATGATTAATACTTTCCCTGATAACTCCACTTTAACCTTACATACTTCCTCCACCTTCTCCAATATCTTTTGCCAAAAATTAACCACCTTAGAACACCCCCACCAAAGATGTACATAATAACCCTTTTCTTTTTTACAATGCCAACAATCGGATGTCAATCTCTTGATCATATAAGATAGCTGAGCAGGCGTCCTATACCATTTCAATATTAATTTCATCTCCATTTCTCTAAATTTTTCCATTTTTATATCACTAATACCTTTCATTATTTTATTTATCTCGTTTTCTGATAACTTTACATCTTTCTCCCATTTTGACTGTATTATACCAGTCATATAAATGTTATCTTCAATCAATCTGCTATATATCTTTCTTACAATACCCTTTTTATTCTCTTCTTTAATTGCATACGATTCTTCCATCGAGGTGTCCTCCTCATTTAATATTCCAGAATACTTCCTTTGTTTCAAAATATTGTATAAACTAATAACCAATATTGTCCTCCCCCTCTTTCCATTACTTCTTGCATCTGAATTAAATTCCCTTGAACATTATACATATCTTTCCCTTTCCATAGGTCCTTTACTTGTAGCTCTTTCCAAAAAGTTACCTCAAAATTTTTAAATTCCTCACTTAGTGATTCAAGTGGGGCCCACTTTGAAAGAGGAGGCATCCACTTAGTCTGTCCCCACCCATTTTTAATGCTGTCCATCTTGGACCTATTGTATTCTTGATCTCTTTTTTTAATCTTTGTGTAAATATTCCAAACCTGCCTTCTCCTCCATTTATACAGTCTTCCCATCAGACCCATTAATCCTTACTTTTACCATCCATTTCCAACAACATTTTTATTTAGAAAGCTTCATAATATCCTGCATAAATTAACCTGCATAAATTACTTTGCTCTGGAGCCATCCTTCCTGAGCTAAGACAAAAATGTGTGAGCCGGAGGCTCCCTAGGGTAGTGAATGGCGGGGTAGAAATCCAATCTCTTCTCTTCTTCTCCTCTTCTTAAGCCAACGCCTTCACATGCTAGTGCCACTAAACAATTCACTTCACTAAACAGTTATGTAGCAGTGCCAAATAACAAGGCTGGTAAAATACCCAGGAATTTCGGTATCCAGATTTCATCAGCCAGAGATATCGAAAAGTGACTGGAATAGCCATAGGATTCCTTCAGCCCCTGTGGCTTTTCGGCAGAGAAGACAAAGACAATCTTTTACTTTCCCCAACAACTCACCCTTTTCTTGCGCTAAGGCTTTAAGGAAATGACCCAGTGGTCGTTCAACAAAGTCTTCTGAGTGGTTTATCAGTGCTTCTTGTACTGCTTCGAATCCACACAGTACAACTAACGGTATGTGCCCCATCCACACGGTGTAAATGTTTCCGTATTGCTTTGCCACCTGCCATTTGCATCCAATGAGACAAGAGGAGTTACATTCAAACAAATTGGCTGAACTAATATAACACGTGTGCTTCAATAGAAGACATGCTCTTCATCCTTCCTTACCTTGGCAGCTCCAGTCCATAGGCTTCTCTCCTCTCAGCTCATTCTTCCTTCTCCTGGAGACACTCTCACTTCTAAGCTTTCCGTTGCCCCTGATTGAGAGCCAGTTTGGTGTAGTGGTTAAGTGTACAGAGTCTAATCTGGGAGAACCGGGTTTGATTCCCCACTCCTCCACTTGCACCTGCTGATGTGACCTTGGGTCAGTCACAAGCTCTGGCAAAGCTGTTCTCTCAAGGGCAGTTTCTGCCAGAGCTCCCTCAGCCCCACCTACCTCACAGGGTGTCTGTTGTGGGAAGGGGAAGGGGAAGGAGGTAGTAAACCGCTCTGAGACTCCAAGTGAAGGGCGGGGTATAAATCCAATCTCTTCTTCTTCTTCTTCTTCTTCTTCTTCTTCTTCTTTCAGCACCCATATTTTGCCTCGGTTTCTGAGCGCATCCTATTCTTCCATTCTGCATCCCCTCCTTCTTCCACTTCCAGTTTGTGCCAGGGCTTTTTCTTGTTTCTGCATTTGTTTTACAGGGTTCTGCATTCAGACCACTTCCAGCACACTCTTGCCCCGCAGCCACCAAAACTCCTTTTGCTGCGATTCTTGGTTCTCATCCACTTTTGAATTGCTAATCTTCTCTAAAGTAGAATTGTTTCTGCAGGTATTTAAGTGCTGCTCACTGCCCGCCCCTGTTTCCACCTCTCCCTCCCCATTCTGTTTTCTTTCCCTCCTTTTCAAAGACTAAAGAGGACATGTCCTCCTGCTCAGAATTTTTTTTAAAAAGCCATAGAGAGCATAAGAAG